AGGCAATTTTCTACTTATTTTCAGCCGACAAGTACTAGTCTTTTATGTTCTTTTTAACTAGTCATGATAAGAAAAGGAAAAAAAAAGAAGGAAAAGAAGGTATATTTGTTGCAAAAGTTTACGGAAAATATGATTTGGTGAACTTTTAACAAATACTCGTAAATCTTTTGTTTTCCTGTTTATCCCCCATAAAATAGTTTTTACGATTTTGCAAAGAAATATAAATGTTAGAGTGCAAATCATCAAAATATGTTATGTAGGGTGTAAATAAAAGAAAGAATACATAAGTTCGAGGTGCAAAATGCAAAGAACTCATAAAATTGTATTGCATCTAAAACTATTAACAAGAATGTTTACCTTATGTCATTATTAATATATTTGTGTATTTACACTTTTTTCAAATAATGTTAGAATAATCATAATTGTAAACTATTGTGATATATAATAGTGTAGTACTTTTTTCCTTATGTTATTTCTAAACATGTTGATGTGATTTTTGTAAATGCTTAAGTAATAATTCATACCCGAATTCTCACTGAAAATTAAAAGGCGTTAACCAACGAATCTCACCAATCTTCCTGGACTAGATGACGTGTTGCTTGGTTAATCTGATAAAATAGTTATTAGCACTTAATTCAATTGGCAACATGTAATTCAATCGTGCAGTTATTCCTTAACAGCATGTTTGGATGGTTGTTACACATCATTTCATAATGTATCGTATTGTACTGTATCGTTTAATGAATACATATGTTTGGATAGTTTATATCATTTGCCGTTGTTTCATGATATCTTGCACCAACAATATGAAGAATAAATTTGCAATATTATAAAGAAAAATTATGATACGGGGTAAATTTATTATATAAAAAGGTAAGGTAAATGATAAAATAAAATAATTTAATAATAGTGAAGGGTGAGATGAGAGAAAAAGACAAAATAACGATGCAACCATACCAAATCGATCGTTACATAAGGTGACACATTTCGTCGTTATGTAGCGATGGATTTAACGATATAATACAATAAAATTTAAGTAACAACCAAAACAAAAATTGTATTTAAAGTAACAATACGATACAATACAATATAATAGGTAACGACCATCCAAACAAGCTGTAAGATGAAATGGCGTATTCTGAAAATCTCAAGTTGATGAGCCAGAATCTTGAGAAAATCATTTAGTTATCTATCATTTTGCACAATCTGATTTATATATTATCCGAGTACCAATTTGCATGGCGTCGGAGTAAGTTTATAGTTTGGAATCTGATTGTGATGACTAGGTTTCGTGAAAATAACACACAACCAAATAGGTTGTAATAAATGTAAGAAAAGGAAATTTAACTTCTCACAACTGAAGTTATAACAAACTATTTGCATGTTCTTTTCTAGTCTGACGTAAATTACAGCATACCTGATGTTCTATACTTATTTTGCACAAAGGGAACGAATACTTTCTTGAACATGGTTTTCAAGTTCCATCAATAATAGTAATTGGACCAACCACCCGATCGAGTCACAGAGGCGGATCCAGGAATTTAATGCAATCGGGGCACAATATTATATTCAATCAGTGCCCCTAAAATTTTTTAGCGTTAAGGGTGCCAAGTGATTTAAATTAATCATTTTTAAGGTATACAAATATACATATACAATATTTCTGTCGAAGTTTACGGGGTCTGATAACCCCTCAACAAAAGCCATCGGTCCGCCTATGACCCGAGAGATGTCCTATTTTGTTTTAATACTTTTCATCTTTTTTCAACCGTTTGTTGTTTTCTCTTTAAAACTTGATCGTACATGATTATATAGATCTGAATTGTTGTCTTTTTATCGAGTTCTAAATTGATAATTTATATATATTAAATGAATTTTATTACAAATACATAATTTAAATAAAAGCTATCGTCGACTCTACATTCGCCCATGTTTAATGGTCATCGACTTTGCACAAACTACGTATTAATTTCAGGACGTTTTGAACCCAACTAACTAAGAAGCGTAAACGTAAAAGCGACAACGATGGTAAAACAGACCAATTTACAATGTTTTCATCACTAATATTCATCAACAAACATTCACGTGTCTATCACTAATATTCACACTTGTATTAGTTAGGATCTTCTTCGACTAATGATATCTCGATTCTCTACATATTCAATCATCTTTGACTTAAGCCTACATTGTGGTTTCTTTATTGTATGTTTGAATTGTACTAGAGTGATGGTATCAATTCTTACTGGTATGGATTAATTTAATTTCTTTCTTATTTCTGTCCTGAGTCATATACAAGAAATGCTAACTCCATCCGGTTCAATTCGTACGATTAGAGGTGTACAAACCGAATCAGAAAATCGCACCAAACCAAAAATCAAACCAAATTGATTAAAAAACCCGATTAGATTTGGTTTGATTTGGTTTGGTATTGAGTAAAAAAAATCCGAACCAAACCGACATATAAATATATAATTTTTATATATACTTTTAAGATTTTATATAGAATTTTATTTAAAAAATCTCTAGAAATAATTGGGATTATCTTGCAGGATATAATATTTAATAGTATATGATGTGTTCCATATTTATTAACCTTAAATTATGGGTTGTATGATCACTTTCTCATCAAGTGTTACTGGAATGCGTCAATCTCTTTGTTCTTCCATATTCATATCATATGTTAAGATCTATCAAATTGTTATATCTTTTTCGAATGTGAAGTGATTATTATTATTATTTAGGTATCATATTGATTTTTATGTTTATTTACTAAATTCAGTTAACCTTGAAAGTGTACATCAACGAAATTATATTGTAAGACGACTAAAAAAATAATTATTATTGTATTACTAAGAAAATTCTCTCATAAGAATATTTTAATAGATAATATGTTTGTCAATTTTTTATATTTTTACTAAACATATATTTATCTATCAAAATTTAACAAAGTAAGATTGAAATAATATTTAAGTAACAAAAAGGCATTTTTACCTCATATAGCAAAGGTTAACACCTTATTTATTTTAAATAAATACCATTTAAAAAAATTATATTCTATAAATACCTTTTAAGGTTTATAGCAAAATATTTAATTTTGGTTACATCCTAACCCTAAGCCACTAAATACGCTAATCAGTTACAATATTTTCTTTCTCTCTCTACTTTGATACATCCCATTCTCTTCTCCCCTCCCATTAAAATTTCCGATTCTCTTCCTCTTCTCTGTCTAGTTCGCTTGCGATTTTCTCCTCCATCGATATCCTCCATTGTAACAGTGCTTAAAGAGGAAGATTTTTTTTTTTGTGCATCACGAAATGTTTAATGCCTGACATTAAAAATCTACTTACAATTAGGGGTAAACTTGATTCTTCATCAACTTAATGTCAATTCTGGCCGCCTACGTCAAAGCGGAAATAGGAAATCAAAAGAGAAAAAATCCATTTCAAGAGGAAAGTAATGGAAAGCTGAATTAGTAGAAGTCACCCAGCCACTGCTGTCCACATTAGAGCAAATAGGCCTGCCCTGAATGGTTGTTGACACCATGATCAATTAGTCGTATGTCTTATTCTACCACTAAAATTCCGAGCACAACGCTCTGCATTGAAATTAGGGTTTGTTCTTGAACAAAGACGACGGAGTTTGGGGCTGAGCAACTTGATTTTCTGTTGATATATTTCAATGTATTTTCATGTATTTCATTGTATTCATTGTCTTTTTTTCATTGTAATTCAATATATTTCGTTGTATTCCATGTATTTCATTATATTCACTGTCTTTTTTTCCATTGTATTTTAATGTATCCCATTGTATTCTATGTATTTCATTGTATTCACTGTCTCGCTATATGCCATGAATGTATTCATATGTTTTTTTTAATTAATATAATTTATGTATTCAGATGTATTATATAATTTCTCTGAAGATTGCTATGTTTTTGGTGTATTTTTGGTTGAGAATCTTTTTTATAACTGAAAATACAAAATTTATGTGTTATAATTGAGTTTGTTGAGTTATATTAGGAGTCTATTATGTTAATTGATTCACTTTCCGTTTTAAAAACAGTGTAATCCCCTATTTCATACCGTGAATACAGTCGAATACAATAATCTGTCCAGCTGTAATCTCACGTTTCACTCCATGAATACAGTCGAATACACTCGAATACAACAACTGATTAGCTGGACCTCCTGATTCACGCCTATTTTTGCTAATGTATTCATGAATACAATAGCTTAAATACATCAAATGCATCTTATAACCACATAAAAGATATCTATAATCCGTAATATAGCAAATTGTATCTATAGATGGCTAATTACTACTAAAAGATAGTGCTTTATGAAAATTTTCCTAACAAAAAATTCGAAAACCCGAAAAATCCAACAAAACCAAACCAATCCAATCCAAACCGTTATAATTGATTTGGTTTGATTTTGAAAAAACCAAACCATCCAGCTCCAAGTACACCCCTACCTATGACACAGGAGTAGTTTGTTTGGACGCAATTTTTTTTTTTTTTAAAAAAAGATAATTTTTGGAACTCGTAATTTAGACATGTGTTATAAGACTTTTCTCATGAAATTTAAGAAAAAGGATAATTTTTAGAGCTCATAAATTTTTGGAACTCATAATTTAGACATGTGTTATAAGAAATGCTAACTCCATCCGTTTCAATATTTATGTGTTATAAGATTTTTAAAACTTGTATTCTAAATGTGTTATAATATTTGTATTCGTACAAAATTTTTGTCACTAGGAATAAAAGGGAAGTTTTTTTTTTTTTTTTTTAAATTTAAGAAGTTATATTATAATATTCTTTTTAGTACGGCCAAAGAGAAAATAAGCTGTTGATCATCTCCTTCTTGCGAGCTCAAGATTATAAGCCTAAACCACAGAATTCATTGACCAGTAGGAACCCATTTTTAAGTCAAAGTCCACGTGGGCATATCTGCCAACTGGCGGCTACAGTTGAAACACAGGTACTTATATGTTTTCTTCTCACAGACACAAATACACCTATTCTCATGTAAAGATTGCATCTTTTTTAAAATTCAGACAAATGGGTGTGCTTGAAATGGGGAATTATATTGATTGGGAACAAGAATCGTACCCACAATATGAAGATTTCATAGTGCTTCCTTTGTTTGCCCTTTTCTTTCCCACTGTCAGATATTTTCTTGATAAATTCGTATTTGAGGTATGTACTTCTTTAAAAGTTGTCATTTTTCTCTTTGATTGTAATTTCTTTTGAATGTTCCAGTTACTCGGTTACTCGTGCACAACTGAAATTTGAAAATTAAAAAGAGGTTTCTTGATCCTAATAGTATATTGGCCGAGCTTCGGGGAAGCCAAAAGTATTTATTTGAAAAAAAGGTTAAGTTGAGAGAGTTGAGTTGGTTGGCCAAGCTTTAGGAAAAAATAACTGATTTTGGAGTAGAATCAAAAGCTATTTTTCAGAAGTCGAAAAGTAGTTTTTTCCCGAAAACACTAATGGAACCTTGGCCAAACACAAATTATTTCTTTAATATTGGCAAAAGTGTTTTTCAATTTGATTAGCCAATCAGAAACTGCTACTACCTTTTCCAAAAGCATTTATGACAGAACACACTTTTCGAAATAAGAAGATTCGAATGTTTGGCCAAACATGCTATAAATATCCTTTTTCTCAACATATTTAGCTAGCGTTTGGCCATAGATTCCCAAATTTATTTTGAAAAATCTGATTTGGGTGAAGTTTCGTTTGAAAATGAAAACGTGTTCGGACATACGTTTTCAAAACATATTTTCCAAATTTATTTTAGAAAAACATGTATATTATAAGTGTTTGTAAAGATTTTGGCCTAAAATCAGCTATTGAGCTGGTTTTGGGATTTTGCCAAAATATAGGCAAAATCTATGGCCAAACATGTGTTTGCCAAATAAAACCCAAGTTTATTTTGGCAAAATCTATGGCCAAACGGGTCCTTAGTATTTTTTACGGGTTTTATTTGTTTTGGTGATTCTGGAGTGGTTGGATCTGGTATTTAACTTGCTCGATTTCTATGTTCGTCATTGGACATTGACCGAGGTCACCTCAAGCAAAAACTTACGCGCATATTGTGTTTATACCAAACCAAATAATTTAACTTTGGTAGTTAAAGATTAAAGTAAATGTATATTTTGTGTAACCTTGGTTAAGTGATAAATTTGGCATGAAACACACATCTTTCCTTCATTGGTTTGATGTAAGCACCTGATGCAAATAAGTTTTTACTGGTTACCTTATACCATATTGGATAGTTTTTTGCTTGTTTCTCTTCTTTCTCTTTTGTAATAATTCTTACATTAGGTCTGATGTTATAGTTTGTTTAGAGCTATGTGTATCAGTAGAGAATGTAGAGCATCTCTACCTATAAGTGTCATATAGCGGATCCTAACTTGTTTGATGACACCTTACCGTGCCCGAAGGAGAAGGACTATAGAGTTTGGTAGAAGACAGGGGCAAATTTGTTCATGAATCACGAGAAATAGGACCTTAATCTGCAAATTGTTTATTTATCATGTTCATATTCTAAAATTCCTAAAGAGTTTGACTACTAAAGCATGATTGACAACTCATAGCCATGAGAAAATGTAACATGGCGGCCTTCATGCTTAAGTTTTAAGTAAAGGATATGCAGAATAATCCGAGTCCACCCTGCTGCGCAAGAGTCTTATCCCTAATTCATTTGTTGCTCTAAATCTGTATTCCTACACAGTCTTACACTGTTTTGATGATAATTTCTTTGATATAGAATGGTTGTACATGTCGCAGAAAGTGGCTAGGAGGTTAATATTTGGTAAAAAAAGGTTGGTGCTGGAAAATGAGACAGATAGACAGAGAATAAGGTTACGGAAATTCAAAGAATCAGCATGGAAATGTATGTATTTTCTATCAGCAGAAGTTTTCGCACTTTCAGTGACCTACAACGAGCTTTGGTTGAAAACAACCAGATACTATTGGGTAGGGCCTGGAAATCAGGTCTGGCCTGAGCAGAAATATAAGTAAGATGTTTCTTTTCTGTTGAACTTTTAATTGGTTTTCGCGTGTCTTTTTCTTTTGTGAGGTGGAGAGCTGGGGTTGAGGATGGGTAGTTGGAGTTGTGATTTCTTAAGAAATTATTTGTCAAAAGTTACTGATTTTTGTGACAGCTAAGAATTCCTACGGTTTTCAAGGAAACAATTGTGATTCTTTGCTTTACAAAATCTATTAATTGTCGTCATTTATTCTTATGTATCATAAGATTTTCATGCGCTATTGGCTAATTTGACTTCCATGCTTTGATTGAATCTTTTTTGTTCATGCTAACTAATTATTGGAGTGACTGTCTTGTGTAAATTTAGGTCAAAGCTAAAGGCACTGTATATGTATGCTGGTGGATTCTATGCATATTCGATATTTGCACTAATAATCTGGGAAACAAGACGATCCGACTTTGGGGTGTCAATGAGTCATCATGTTGCCACTGCGATTCTTATTGTCTTGTCCTATATTTTCAGGTGTGTTTTTGTGGAGGTGAGCTTAAGATCATTGCATGACAAACTACTTTCGCATAAAACTCTGAGAGAAGCGATGAAACATCCAAAAAGTTAATGATGATTTTAAACATTTGAAAGTCACACACATATTAAGAGGTTGATAGCTCTTTTGAACTAATAACTTTTTGAATAATTCAATTGGAAAATGCAACCTAAGTAATTTAAGAATTACTGCAATTCCCTAGAGGTAACAATGAGCCTGGAGTTCTATTAGCTTTTTTCACCTTTGTACAGGTTTGCAAGAGTTGGTTCAGTTGTTTTAGCGCTTCATGATGCCAGTGATGTATTCCTGGAAATAGGGAAAATGTCCAAATACAGTGGTGCTGAAGGTCTTGCCAGTTTTTCATTTGTGCTTTTTGCTTTATCTTGGATTGTACTTCGCCTCACATACTTCCCTTTCTGGGTTCTTTGGAGTACAAGGTGAGTATTTGAAGAACCTGTTCATCAGCAAGTAATTTATGCTCAGTAATTTTCCTTCTCATGATTGCTTATTTCATTGGACCTTCGTTATACTGGAATAGCCACTAGAACGTTTGCCTTATCGGCATAGTGACTATCATAATATGATGATACCAGTAAGGCATTCAGTGCGTGAAAGGGGACAAACCAGATCGTAGTTGAAAAATATACTTTTCGCTGATAATCGTTGGAAAGTTTGATCTAGGATTGGTCTATTCTTTGGTGGATGCAGAATGATTATTGAAATACTGCTTTGCTGCATATCATATCCCTCATTTCTTCATCAACCTTCTTTCACTGTCTAGAAGCACAGTGTCGTATAGTCCTCATAGAATAAAGTTAAAATGTACACTGTCTTGTTGATAAGAAACAAATAGCTCCAGTAAAGATACTTGTGTTTGCTTCTTTGTTAAGAGAAAGATTATTTTCTCTAATACTTTCCATGTCCTCTCTCTTAACGATTGCATTGTACCCTTGTTTATTCTTTTCGGAGACTTCACTTGCATGTTGTTTTCGGAGACTTCACTGACGAGAAAAAGTTGTTTATGAGTTTTTTTTTTGGAAATCCTTTTCTTTTTGTTTTCTCTACACAGTTACGAAGTTATCCAGACCTTGGATAAGGAGAAGCACAAAGTTGAAGGACCAATCTANGAAGGACCGATCTACTACTACGTATTCAATTCACTTCTATACTGCTTGCTGGTTCTTCATATATATTGGTGGGTGTTGATATACCGGATGCTTGTTAAACAAATCCAGTCTAGGGGCCAACTAAGTGAGGATGTTAGATCTGGTAAGCTAAAAAAGCGACATACTTATCTTGTATAACATCTTGATATGACATCTATGGCGGCAATTTCAGTTGTTATGAAATGAAGCATCACACGTTGAAGTCTAATTTTGCAGCCTGTATGATAAAATTACCTGTGTAGAGTAATGCCTTTTCCTAATGAATTCACTCCATTGCTCTTTAAGGGATAGAAACAGCTAACTACTTATCTAAGTTCAATGCCACCCATAAGGTTGTTATGAAATACGATTGTGATTATTGCACGCTTCAATCACCAAGCTTCTCTTTGGAGTGGAAAAAAGGATTGACTACCTTATTGAATTCTGTTTGAAATGGTTTCCATCATGGCAACCAGACCTGAATCCTTTGTTTGTTAACTAAATTAATCAATTAATCCTAACCATGTTGATAAGTGTGCTTTTAGCATATTAATCTGCTCACGTTGGATAAATTATTTGGTTTAAATTGTTGAGACATACACGACGTAATCTAAGATGCTCTCTATCACTGAGTTAATTGACATAGGATAACTTGTTTTTTGTCAATAGCGTCATATATCTTCTAAACTATAGCTATATTTGCTAGCTTCTCTAATCTATAGCTATATTTGCTTCCATATTTTATAGATCCTGTTTTGAATTTAATATCTTATTGATCGGTCATCATGTTCTATTTTATGCAGATTCAGAAGAGGAAGATGACCATGAACATTGACCATGCAACAAGTGTTTTATCTCCTCTGTGAAGGTACTTGATAGATCTTCATATGGACGCCAATGGATAGACGATAACGTAAAGAATTGTCATAAGCAGTTGCATTCATATGTTTTTATGCAAGTTTCTTTGCCTACAAAATAGGCACACATAATTATCCATGTTCCTCCCTGCTGGAAAAATTATGGCAAAGAAGTTCCTGCTGTATTTCTTGAGCCGAGGGTCTTTCGGAAACAACTTTCTACCTTCATAAGGTAGAGGTAAGGCCTGCTTACACATTACCCTCCCCAGACCCGGCCACTTGTGAGATTCTATTGAGTTTGTTGTTGTTCCTGCTGTATCTAACACAGATTCATCATTCACTCATTTAAGGAATCCGCTCTTGTTTATGTATAGTTCATATACCATATGTTTGTTATTTAACTTGTATTTTGTAAATTTTCTTGGCCCTTTTTGCTTGCCCTTTGTAGATAAGAAAACTACTCATCTACCTGTTCTTATTCTTGTTTTTTTTTCCTTTGTACAGCAAGGAAACAACAAAGATTCACATGAACCAGATAAGCATTGAATCTTTGACTCGAAAGTCAAAAAAAGCTGTGATAATTTACCTGGTGCCTGTATTAGTAAGAGGTAGCAAGTATCGGGTGGAATAGTTAAGGTACGCTCAAGCTGGCCCCAACGTTGAGGTAGGTTGAAGGCATTGCTCATGTACAGGAGACAGATTGATCATTTGCAAGTTGATATGTCCACCCTTTTCATATCATTGATGCTTGCATAAGGTTATCTCTTTCTCCTTTATTTTTTTCCCACTAAGAATGTGTGCATAATGATGTCGAATTTGTAATATAGAAGATTTGAAACTGGTCGACCGTTTAGATTTGGCCCAGAGAAGTTGATGTAAACTGATTTCATCGACTTTCGACAGTAGTTTCCAGTTATCCAAGTAGATGTCAAATTTTGTTCTTAATGATTTTAGCAAAATTTAGATGTGCAATTCCCATTTTCGTTATTTTTATTTGAAAGTGTTATTTTTCTGTCAACTTTTGTGCACCTCAATTATTTCACCGAATACTCCGCATTGTCTAATGGATACTTGGATTTTCCTACAAGCACGGGTGCAAATTAATACACGAGGAAACAGAAGAAAACAAAATGAAACCATTTCATATCTTGAGCCATGTCAATCCAGTCCATAGCCTCCGAGGGGACCAGAGACACATGTAGGACATGTTCTCTAGGTTCAACTTAGCTCATCGTTTTCGGCTTGAACTATGAATATATGAAAAAGAAAAAAAAAAAATTAACATGTATGCATATAATAAGAGCAATGTACTCATTCAGAAGCCGATAACTTTAAATTTTGGATTCACTTTTACGAGCAGTTTGGCATTTATAGACTTGTACGTATAACTTGTTGTGACCTAATTTATTTTCTTCTTTTTATCAACCGGCCATCTTTCCCAATAAATACTGTCCAACATAAGATAATTTTTCAGTTTTTTTTTTTTTGTTCAAACACCCTTTGTTAAGTGGTTGATTATCTCATCTTGTTATAAGGCTAGAATCATACCTAAATGTTAATAAAGGAGTTGGGAACTATATTATCCTTAAAAACATATATGCATTTCCTAATCAATTAGCCCAAGAAAACTAAGAAGTAACATTAATTAGTAACTTACAATATTGAAGCATCATTAGAACACCTTTCAAGACTCATGACTTCTGACATGAACCATAGTGGAGAGCCTACCTATGGCAAAGCGAATTCAAAATCTAAAATAAGTGCGTATAGAATAGGTGACTCATTATATATATCATATATAGCTCGAATTAAAAGTACGGATTTCAGTTAAACACTAGAGCACATACCCTGAGTCTTCCTTTGCACCGCGGGAATGGAAAAGTTTGGGGGTTGATTGGGATGATGACAGTTTGATCTCGAACCTTAGATTGTGACAGATAAAACTAAAAAAAAAATTCTTATCGAAAAAAATAAAAAAGAAATTCCCTAAAAGTGCATCCCCTAGTCCAAGAAGTTTTTTATTTTCATTAAAAAGTTTTGACAATTGTAAATGTATTCTCAGCAAAAGTTGAAGGGGTCAAATTTTGGCTTGTAATTATAGAAGACAATGGGTTTGGTCACTTGCAAAAACTCTATCATGAAAAGACACAAGCCTTTTATGATGCAGTTCTTCTGGTAATTATTGCATTACTAAAATTAGTATATTGTGTTTAGGTTTCTTAGATTAGTCACTAATTTAAGCATTTTACTGTCAATGCAATTTAACCGGCAATAACATGTTAATGGATCAAGTTTTGTTATAAATATTACCTGTTGTTGTAGGTTAACTTAATCTGATGGTGTAAAAATACGATTGTTAGTGTATAGATAATGTGTATGTTGGTCGCAGGTTGGTGGACCATATTGGGATGTTCCATTAGGTAGAAAAGACTCAAGAAGTGCAGGATATGCCTTAACTGATACAAATCTTCCAACAGCTGATGAAGGACTTATTTTCATTATTTCTAAGTTTATATCTCAGGGCCTTTCTGTTACTGATATGGTTGCTCTTTCTGGTAAGTATTGTCCTATTGATCATCACATGAATTGTTCTACTTCTACAGTTTCTTTCATCAAGCCCATATATAGCCACCTGAACTAATCATGAATGTTGTAACAAGAAATTACACTTATTTACTTACAATTTTTTTTCTAATCAAACAATCGATCAACTCGAACCTCATCGATCTCAAATTAACTAGGGTTGACTAAGGAATTCATCATAATTGATTAAAAAAAAATGCGTTGACCGTCTACCTAGCTCGCCCTGTTTTCTTATTTAGGTTTTGGAATAGATTATAAATTCACATCGGTGGAGTTAAAACATGTATTTTTTTTAATAAATAGACAATATTATAGTGGAAATTAATTATCACCAGTCAAAAAATTCACATAAGGGCGAAATAGAAAAAAAGAAAAGAGTACAAGAGACAAAAAAGATATAACTACCAAAAGAAAAAGTTACATGAAAAATAAAAAGAAAAATAGCTCTAAACAACAAGAATTTGAAAAATTGACAATTTTCCAAATCAGATTTTTTGCTTTCAATTGATATGCATATTCAAGGGCCAAAAACAAAATAGAGACAATTGGGGTGGTAACCACTTTTTGTGAATTAACAATACCTTCAAATTAAATAATTGGAGTTAACAATACTTCTTATGAATTAACATTACCGCAATACTTCTTATTTAATCCTGAGTTTGGGATCGACTATACTTTGGAAACTTACACAAGATCTTGTTCTTGGCTGCCTAAAAATGACAGGTGCCCATACAATTGGGAAGGCTCGCTGTGTGAATTTCAAGAAGAGAATATATGGAGATTTCCTAATGACTACTTCATTGAATCCAATTTCTCATACATACCTTAGTAACTTGAAATCAGTCTGTCCTCCTATTGGAACTGAATCAGACAACAATGAAACAGCCATGGACTATGTCACGCCCAATTTATTTGACAATTCTTATTACCATGTTTTGCTTAGAGGAGAAGGACTCATCAATTCAGACCAAGAACTCTATTCAAGTTTCCTTGGAATTCAAACAAAAAAACTTGTTGAGGAATATGCTGTAAATCCAATTGCATTCTTTGAGCAATTCGCGGAGTCCATGGTAAAATTAGGGAACATTACGAATCTTGAGACTTGTGTGAATGGTGAAGTTAGGAAGAATTGCAGGTATGTGAACACATAAATTAAGGGTGACGATTTGAATGATATCCTTAATGTTGCCGTCCGACGAATATATGATAAAGGAGCTCCGGTTGACTAAGTTATAAAGATGAGGTGATAATAATTTAAGTCCTTAAGTTTCCTTTGTATTACAATTAGTATGGTAGTTTTGTTATTTTTTCTTCACACCTTAGCTTTCATTCCATTAGCTAAAGTCCTTATGTCTTATATAAGGTTCTCGAACACCTGTTATTTACTGAGAAGAGTTATTACGTTTCTTAACTAGCTTACTAATATTTATATCCCAATCATTGTAATCGGACGGATATTGACGATGTGAAACATTTTCTCTTTATTTAATTTTCTTTTTTGCTTTACTGTTCTTACTTCATTTGTAATTTAGTAACTCGAACGCTACAATTTGGTATCAGAGCCTCGGCTCCTGGCATTCGAAATGGTGGCTAAACAGAAAAAGTCATCTCCAGAAATGGGTTGCGGCGAGTCGAAACTCAGCTACAAATGTTCATAGAGGAATCTATGAAATATATGGATAAACTGGAGAATAAGCACTAGAACTTTTAAGCAAAATAGTGGAATTTATAGGCCCCACCAAACAAATCGAAGATATTTATAAAAGTGATGACTAACCAAAACAGAGCAGAGCCTCCGTCGTTCGATAATTCCGTTATCTTCAACACTCAAGGCGAACTCTCAACTGAAGCAGGTCAGTCTGCTGTTGGAGGTAGTACCCGGAACCTCGCTTCATCTGTTTCACCCCTACAACTTTGTTGTTTACCGACTAACACTAGAGCCTATGTTGATATTCCGCCAAGCACTCTCTTAAACCCTTCTGTTGCAACCTTTCAACTACCCTATGTCCATATATAATCTCATTTCAACCTATTCCTAGACTTCCCGGCCCTTGATTCCACAGTGAGCCTGTACCCAACAGCTACACATTCTTTTGTTCCTCAGATGCTCATACTCAATGTCGTCAATACCCCCCTTTTCACATATTAACTCACACCCTATGTCAACCCAAGCCTTTAGCCTCAAACCTACCCAATTTTCATGAACCCCAGCTTCACCATTCCCATTAGCTCATTCTCTACGATCCCAATAAACCAACCTATTTCTTACCTTTTAACTTTTGAATTAAGGCTGTATTGTCTGTACTAGTATCTTTACCTTTCTCTTCTTCTTTGAACGCTCCTCTGTAATGCCCCCCTCCCTCCCAAAGTCAAAACCAGATCCAGAGGCTCCCAGCCGGCGACTTCCCGATGCCGGCGAGCACCTCCCTCAACAGGTTAACCCCCCTCATCTCCTTCTCCTCCTTCTCTCTCTTCTTTCTTCTTTCCCTCACCCCCACTCCCAAACTTCACTGTTTCATCTCTTTTCCCCCACTTGCACAGGGTAAATCTCCTCATCCAATCTTCTAGCTTTGTCTCTTTATATCTATTTTAGTTTTGTGATTCCTATATTTTGTATGCTGGCACATACATTTTTTTTCTTGTGCATTATTTTTACTAATTACGCACAATTTTGTTTGTTCATAAACTTAGTACCTTCAAATTCGCTTCCTTTTTATCTGTGTTTCTTTGCAATGGTTGGGCATCACCAGTGGTAGCGGTGACAACCCCTATTTGTTTGGCTTTGTATTTTTTTTTGTGTATTTTAGGTTAGGGTTGGTGGCTTTTGGCGGCGAGCGAGACGTGCATGTGCAAACAGTAAAGAACAGCCCGGCAGAATGTCAATAAGGAGGGGCGAGAGTTGGACGTGAACAAGCTAGGTGGCCACAACACCGTTGGGTATACCAAGACAATTCCCAGATTCTACTTGCGGGTTTTGGTACCTCCCGTTTTCCTGTTTCCTTCCGTTGTGTTAGTTAAATTACTGCCGTCTTAGTTCATATTAGTTTATTCACCATATTAGCGTGCCTGTACTTACAACTTGCCTTCTTCTAGTTTGATCTATTGCCTTGTGTGTGTTAGTGATCCCCCTTAGTCCGCCGGAGGTATAATGGCTATGGTCTGGGATGGTTGAGTGAGATCATGTCCTCGGGGGGAGCGAGGGGTGGGACAGGAGGTAGGGCGAGGGTTAGGGGGTGGGTCGGGAGGCAAGGGATGTAAAAGGAACAAGGGTATCTATTGGTTGAGAATTGGGTCATAGAACGTAGGTACATTGTCGGGTAAGCCTATAGAGTTGGCAAAGATCCTCCAGAAGAGGAAAGTCAATATAGTGTGTGCCTAGGAGACAAGGTGGGTAGGGTCGAGGGCGAGGG